CATTTCAGAGAGAAGAGGAAAGGGGGGTGGAGGGTGGGAAGAGATTAACAAAAGAAATTATACACATATATGCATAACCCTTAGACACAGACAATGACAGGGTGAAGGCCTGGGGAGGGGGTGGGAGCGAGGTGGAAGAGCCAATTGGTGGGGGGGTAATAGGACACCTGTAATACTTTCAACAATAAAGATAAATTTTAAAAAATTTAAAATATATATAGTTTTTTAAAGCAATTTTTATGGTTACAAAAGTTATTATTATTAATTTCCTAATATGTAAAATATTAAAAAGTACAGAGAAGAAAATAAATATTGACCATAATCCAACTAACAGGATGTACTGAAAATCTGAATTTTTGTCTTCACAACATATTTTTGTTTTGGGAACTACCTTATCCCTGCTATATGTCACTCATTCTGGCATGATTATCAATAACATTTCACCACAGGGGTGGGCTTACCAACTACCCTAAACAGAGAGCCCACACAAGCAGACATAGTGATAGATATGGAGGTGGCCACATCATCCAAGCAGGGTCAATCAGAATTCTCTTCAGTGAATCAATGATATGGGCTTTGGGAGAGAGGGTTCATCTCCTCTCTGGGTTCAGGAACTCAAGATCCTGAAGGTGCTATGAGGCTCTCTTAACACCACCTAAGAAGTTTCTCTGAGAATGAAACTAAACAGAAGAAATCAAGAGATTAAAAAGAGAGAAAGTTCTACTGATATCCTTGAGATCCCAGGATCTAGCTGTGCCTAACCAAATCTGTCACTGGAACTCACAAATGCAGAACAATGGATGCCCTTCTTTTGCTTTATCCTATTTGACTTGAGATTCTGACAACTAAAGACTCCTAATACACAAGATAATCAGTATAATCATTTGGATGTATATGCTTCCTGTCAATTCTAAAGATTTCTTGAGCCCTCTTTTTTTTTTGAAGTGTTTTCATTGATTTTTAGAGGGGGGGGGAGAGGGAGAGAGAGAGACATCAGTGTGAGAGTAGAACAAACATCGATCAGCTGCTTTCTGCAAGCTCCCTACTGGGGATCTAGCCCACAACCCGGGCATGTGCCCTGACCAGGAATTGAACTGGCAACCTTTTGGTACACAGGACGGTGCCCAACCAACTGAGCCACACTAGCCAGAGCTCTTGAGCCCTCTTTTGAAAGTCATTTACTGCCCAGCTGGCATGACTCAGTGGTTGAGCATCAATCAACCTATGAACCAAAAAGTCACGGTTTGATTCCGGTCAGGGCACATGCCCGGGTTGTGGGGTCAATCCCAAGTAGATGGCCTGCAGAAGGCAGCTGGTCAATGACTCTCTCTCTCATCATTGATGTTTCTCTCTCTCTNTGCAGAAGGCAGCTGGTCAATGACTCTCTCTCTCCCCCCCGTTCTCCCTTCCTCCCTCTGAAATCAATAAAAACATATATTTTTTTTAAAAGTCATTTACTGACGTTCCTCACCTTACAATGGGGTTATGTCCCAATAAAGTTCATTGTAAATTGAAAATTTACCTACCAAATAGTATAGCTTAGCCTAGACTACCTTAAACATGCTCAGAACACTTACATAAGCCTACAGTTGGGCAAAATCACCTAATACAATGAATACATTGTAGAGTAATGGTTGTTTAACCTTGTGATAATGTGCCTGACTGAGATGCTTCCCAGCATTAGGAGAGAATTTATCACACACCACTAGACCAGAAAAAGATCAAAATTCAAAATCTGATGTACGGTTTCTACTGAATGCTTATAGCTTTCACACCATTGTAAAAACTGAAAAATCCTAAGTTGAACCAACCCAAGTCCCTAATCAAGTTAGGGACTGTCTGTATTTAGTACTATTATATTGAACACTCACATTCAATAACAAATATCACTGGCAGCTGCCAAACTGGTCAATATGTCCTTCTGGAACTACTTATTATAGCCACAGCACACATCAGTGTTAAAAAGCAGCTTACAACCACGGTTCTTCTCAGCTGCTACATAAACAAAGACATTTAAGTAGAAAATAAAGTACCTCCTTTGTCTTGCAGAAGCCTCCTTCTTAACTTCCATTTCTGCCTGTTTAGCCAACAAGGCAGCAGCTTTAGCAGCTTCTACTTCTTCCTTTGTCCTTGCAAAACGAGCAGCTCTCTCTGCACGATCCTTTAAAATAGTTAAGACGATAAGTATCTTTCACTGCCAGATTCTGTACTCAACAGATTTCCAAACACAAGAATAAACACACACATGCATGAAATTCCTTAAAGCCATACACGTTAACTTTATCACTCTGGATCTGGTATTTTTTAGTTTTATCAACTGTCAGGGAGCTGTTATTAAACAAACACGAACCTGATTGTATCACAGAGCCTGGAACAAGGTCTGGCACACAGCAGATAAGTATTTGTTGAATAAATGAACAAACAATATTAAGGTAGGCATGGTTTTCATATGTATGACAACTGCTGAATAGTAAAAGCCACTGTTGCAAAACCATCCTAGGCTTCTACTTGATTTTCTAAATCCTTTGAATGTCCCAAAAAAGAATGCTTGTGGCTAGGAGAAACTGCTAGGTAACCAAGTCTTAGTTTCTTTTCTAGGGAACCTTTGGAAACTACCTTTTGACTACTGATAAAATTCATAATGTAACATGAAGAAAAATTAGTTTGAAAAATAATCATCTCAATTTTAATATTAACTATATTTTAATTCAATGTACACTTTCTGTAAAAGGAAGCTGAAAATTGATACTTTTTGAGTCACTAAAATCTACTATTTTTGTGTACATTAGCTAGTAATAAACTAAAACCATTGTGCATGGAAAAAACAATTTCACAAATGTTCTACAGGCAAGCATTAAACATAAACTTAATACTCACCAGTGCAATCTGCTGTTTAATACGCTCTCGCGCTGCCTTATCTTCTGCCTTTTCTCTGTTTCTTTCCTCTAACATTCTTTTCGTTAATTCCTCTTCTTGCTTTCTTTTATAATCCAACATTTCTTTTCCAGTTTTTCTCCTCTCAATTTCTTTCTTAATCTCTCTCTGAATTAAAGATAAAGTTTTATGAGCCTAAAACATAATTTAATAATCTGCCCTAGATATTATTCTGTATGCAGGGAAAGCTGGTTGTAGGTACACCTAAAGGAATAAACAACTTCATAAAATGTAAGAGGCAGTAGAATTTATTATCAGCATGGGAGGGATAATGGCCAAATGTCTATCAATTTATATATCTTTGCCAATGGTTCTATTAAGATTATGATGTGGTCAAGGAAACTTGAAAACAAAGAGAATTACAGGTCTTTGGTTTCTGAGGTGAATATGTTAAACTTTGAGGACAATAAGGTAGTGATTTATTTGGCTTAAAGAAATAACCTTCCTATATAAAAACCCCAAAGAAATGATGATTAGGTGCACATGGTGAGAAAAGTAGAATGCAGCAACACCACAGGTAGAATTCAGCAAAATGGCTACAATTTTTTTTTTTTTTTTTTCACAAAAAGGAAAATTTTGATCTGCATCAAAGCAAAATATTTTAGTTCAAGTCCCTTTATTCTTAGTGTAAAAGACTCACAGCAGAGGGTGAAATGACGAACCAATTTACTCCTAGCAATTTATAAAAAGAATACAAAAACAGTGTACACCATGATTCCACTGCAGAAGACAGGTAATTCCCTTCACTGTTCTGCAACACTGAACTATAAGCAGGAAGCCATCCTTGGTCTGCCGACTGAATAGGGAATCGAATGTTCCCTCACTTAAAGAGTAAAACAATGCTCAGTGCACAAACTTTACCTGTTCTTCCTCTTTCCTCTTCTCTTCTCTCCTTTCTTCAAGTTTTTTCGTTAGTCTGTATTATAAAAGTTTTTAAAAATTACATTAACTGAGACACATCATATTAATATAAAATACACTTAGGAGATTTATTTAGCTAAAAACTGGGGAAATGTAGAAACAAACAAACAAAAAAGCTCCTAAAGACAAAGCAACAAATTTTCTAGCTACTAGAGAAATCCTTGATGAGTCAGTTGGAAGCCCAGTGGGTAACCTTGTTCCAGCTCTAAGTGCCTTATCTACTTAACATTAGTTCCCTTTTTATGCCCGATTTATTTGATATTGATTTTAAAAATATACACATAATCTTCAAATATATAAATCAATAACTGACAAATGTTTTGCCCCTTAGAAGTAAACAGCAATATGGTACAAAATTGTTAAAAATAAAAGCAAAAAACTAAAGGCTAGCATTTATAAAAACTAATAAGAAAATTGAGTTCCAACTGTAATAAATTCATCAATTAAAAACTAGTAATTCTGCCCAGCCAGGCATGGCTCAGTAGCTGAGCATCGACCTAGGATCCAGGAGATAGTGGTTCGATTCCCGGTCAGGGCACATGCCCAGGTTGCAGGCTCGATCCCTAGTCAGGTGCATGCAGGAGGCAGCCGATCAATGACGACTCTCTTATCACTGATGTTTTTATTTCTCTCTCTCCCTCTCCCTTCCTTTCTCTGAAATCAATAAAGATATATTTTAAAACAACAACAAAAACAACTAATAATTCTGAAAGCAGACAGTGGTAATGGTTGTACAACCTTGTTAATATATTAAAACTCACTGAACTGTATTTTGAATTTTATAGTATGTGAATTATATCTTAATTTTAAAAATGGAACTTTCTCTGAGAGGGATTTAGGTTACCCAGGTATATGTAGTTGCTAAAACTCAGCTGAACAACTTATTCCAGAAATCAAAGGGAGTGATCAAAGAATGATGAGACATTATGTCCAAAGCAGAGAAGACCCAGCATGAAGGGGATTCTCTAGTCAAATCTGGGACAATCTATGCACCAAAAATAAGAGAAATGAACTATAATACATTAGAGAGAAAAAAGAATTCATGAAATATCTTACTGCTGAGGGGAGTTATAAATTAGTAAAACCACTTTAGAAAACTGGCCAACACCTACGGCCCAGAAATTCCCACTCCTACAAATTCATCCAGAAGATACATTCACCAAGACATGTACAAGAATGTTCATAGTGCCCTATTCACAACAGCCCCAAAGAATTCAAACATCCATCAACAGAATAAACTGTACAATAGTCAAGTAATAGAATGCCACACAGCAATGCGAACGCACCAACTATTGCCACAAGCAACAACACAGAAAAGCCTCACAAACACAATGCTCAGCAAAGGAGAGCAGACACAAGGAGGACATGTGGCATTGGTTCCATTAGATTCAGGATAGTGGTTATCTTTAGGAGGGAAGCAGGAGTTAAGAAGAGGGCATTAGGCCTCCAGTGCATACAGTGCACTGGTAATTTTCTATTTCTTCATCTGGGTGCTACTGCCCAATAAGAAGTTGACTGAAAAAAGGGGGGGATTAGGGAGAGGAGAATCAAGGAAAGCACTTCTCTAAAAAACAAAAGCCAGCTAACAAACGTAAACGGAATAAAATCTGAGGGGGAAATCACCATTTTTAACTACCAATGAAATAACTGATCCAAGCAAAAATCAATGGATGCCAAAAGCACTGGAAGAAAGTTTTTTGTTGTTGTTTTTTAAATATATCTTTATTGATTTCAGAGAGAGGAAAGGAGAGGGAGAGAAACATCAATGATGAGTGAGTCATTGATTGAGCCCACAACCTGGGCATATGCCCTGACCAGGAATTGAACCCCGATCGCCTGGATCCTAGGTCGACGCTCAACCGCTGAGCCACACCCAGCCGGGCTGGATGAGTTTTTGAGGAATAGCATATTCACTGTTTCAACAAATCACCCCGGAGATAACTTATTAAATGGAACGGGGTATTTTTATAATCGAAAAATCCAACAGACACCATCTTAACCAATGACTAAACTTACCATCACCAATAATGCACACATCTGCCCTGGCCGGTTGGCTACACGGTTAGAGCGTCGCCCGCAGACTGAAGGGTCCCGGGTTGGATTCCTGCCAAGGGCACTTACCTCGGTTGCAGACTTGATCCCTGGCCTGGTCAGGGTGCATGTGGGGAGCAACAAATAGATGTGTCTCTTTCACATCAATGTTTCTCTCTCTCTCTTCCTCCCTCGCCCCCTCCACTCTCTCTGAAAAGCAGTGGAAAAAATATCCTCAGGTGAGGATTACAAAAAAATAATGCATACATCTGACATTAGTTGCCTATTAATGTAAAGGGGAGGACAAAACAGTGACAAATGACACTCTAGAACTATCCTAGACTCAAAAAATGCCCAAGTCATAAAAAATGAAAACAAACAAAAAAACAAAACAACGGAAATGTTTTGGATTAAAAGAAACTAAACAAAATTCAAAGAATGATCTTGAACGGATCTTGAATAGAGAAAAAAAGTTATAAAGGATATTAGGATAACTGAGGAAATATGCATATGATCAAATATCAGATAATCTTACAATTTACAATTTCTTTAGTGTGATAATGGTACTGTACTAATATCTGAAAATGTCTTTATTCTTTAATTATATATCACCTGCAGAATTCTCTTCTAAGAAAAACGGGTGCAATTTTGTTCTAATTTGGTTGAAAAGCCCACTGCATCTTGCTCAATGACAAATCAACTGTTTCATCATTTTTAGATCTGGGCATCTACTACTCAATTGGTTTTTTTTATTGGCCTGAAGGGCAGGGCAGGGCAGGGTAGGGCATGGGTCGGGGGGTATATATCCCAGGCTCCAACCTAGGCTGGAGCCTCCGCTCAGAGCCAAAAGAACCTCAGCCAATGTTTTTATTACGTATACCCTTAAGGGTATAGAAATGATGAGCTACAAGGACACTTGGGATAGGAATATTATATAGTTTGGTGTTTTTAGTTATTGTCATTGTCTATGAATCAGATTCTACAAAAGGAACAAAATTCCTAATTAGGTGTAACTCAGATGAATAAAATGCAGTACCTCAGTCTGTGAATTATTAATTAGTATCAGGACCTACATTTTATTGGTTGAATCTGATCAATTAATCTGAGCAACAATTTGAAGTACTTACATGATTTTAATTATACAACCAAAAGTTGTCTAAGCAGCAAATAGTTACTTCTTAATGAAAACTGTTTCATTATGAAGAGTTTCTTAACATTTCATCCAATTTCAATATTAGTATCCTTTTTTTAAATCCTCACCTGAGGACATTTTTCTTTTTTAACACCCCGAGGAGATTCTTCATTGATTTTGAGAGAGAGAAGGGAAGGGGGGCGGCGGGGGGAGAAACATCGATGGGTTGCTTCCCGTGATCAGTTGTATCCCATCAGGGGACCAAATTCACAACCTAGGTATTTGCCCCAGGAATCAAACCCACAACACTTTGGTGTACGATATGATGCTCCAACCATCTGAATCACACCAGCCAGGGCAGCATATGTGTTTTAAAAAAATGCATATGTATATCTCCAAGAGCACTTTAAATGTTTTTTCATTTAAGGAATCTCAAACAACTGCAGGCCCACTCTAGCCTGATATGCTAATTTGAAAAGTAATAATGCTCCATGAAGAAAATTTAGCCACCTCAGAAGCAAAGAAAAAAAAACCCTTAATTCCTCCTTCATAAATATTAATATAAACATTTTGTTATGTGTCTTAAGGTATCTTTCATTCACTATACTATATATCATATAAACACCAGTGCATGTACATGTAACTTTTTAAAATTAGAATAATATATTATATTGTATTTGTAGAACTATACAGGCAGACATTCCCTTACATGAGAATGGAAGATATTAAGAAACAATAGGGCCCTAGCCAGTTTGGCTCAGTGGTTAGAACATCGGCCCAAGGACTGAAGAGTCCCGGGTTCAATTTTGGCCAAGGACACATGCCCCAGGGCACATGCAGGAGGCAACCAATCAATGTGTCTTTCTCACATTGATGTTTCTCTCTCTCTCCTCCCCCCTTCCTCTCTCTCTCAGCCTAGGGTGAGGATTAAAAAAAACACAACAGGAGTTAAGGGGATGGATGAAAAAGGTGAAAGGGATTAAGAAATACAAACTGCCAGTTATAAAAATAGTCATGAGGATATAAAGTATATGTTGCACATCTAAAACTAATACAATATTGTATGTCAACTATAATTTTAAAATAAATTTTAAAAAAACAAAACACTCCCATTTCCCACCGAATTAAATAGCTCCTGACCCAGTCCCACAATAAAGGGCTACCTGTCATATTTCTTCTCACTCCCACCAAGTCTCCAAATCCTTTTCTAATTTTTGATTTTCACTTCACCCCAAGGTGGTGCAAGTAAGGGTGTCCAGTGGTGGGTTTGGTGTTAGCAAAACAGAAGGAAACAAAAGAGGATGAGCCCTGGGAACTTTGATTCCCTGCTGCTCCTCCAGCCTTACCCCATTTCTCATCGTTGCAAGAGAATCTATCCTGCTTTTCACATCAAGATCCTGGCCATGCCCAACTCCTTCAAAAAACAATCAGAATCTAGGTTTTGCTAAAATGAAGCTGATTTTTACAATCATGAATAAAGCCAAATAGCAAATGTCAGCAATCATTTTGAACCTTGTTTCACCATAGCAACTATGTGAACAAGAAAATGTCAAGTCTTTCTAAGGAATTTTTCTTTTCTTTTTTTTTTTTAATCCTCACCCAAGGATATTTTTTCCATTGCTTTTCAGAGAGTGGAAGGGAGACAGAGAGAGAAAGAGAAACATCGATGTGAGAAAGACATCAATTGGTTGCCTCTTGCACTCACCACAATCATAGCTGGGATGGAGCCTGCAACCAACGTACGTGCCCTTGGCCAGAATCAAACCCAGGATCCTTCAGTACCCAGTACCCAAGCCGATGCTCTAACCACTAGCAAAACCGTCCAGGGCAAGAATTTTTCTTAAAGTTCATATAAACACTAAGTGATTTTAAGTTAGAATTTTAAAAAATTCCTACTTATCCATTTACCATTAATTCATATAACTTTTAAGAATCATTGTATAAAAGACTATGACTTACTATTTACTAAATCATTAAAGTATTAAACTAGAAACCACAAAAAATTAGAAATTTGTATGATTATCAGACCAACTAAAAACACATGACATTTAATAGACACCCAGTTATGTAGAACCCAGGTTCAGTATAGTCATAAAATTAACAGAAATTCTTGCCCATCTGGAACTTATTATCCTATGGCATAGCAAAATAAAAGCAGAAGTGACAGATGGAAACACTTATGTTACAAAATGCCAGTGAAAAAAGATTCTTAGAATGATGAGACCTAAAGCTGATTGATGATTTCAGAGATACAGAAGAACTTTACTTCTAGAATTAATCTTTATGAATACAAACAAGTAGGTTAGGTAATAAAAAAATTTCAATCCAGAATTCTGAAACTTCATTTGTACAATTTTTACTTTTACTCAAATTAATAAAATAACTGAAAACCAATGTATTTTTACTAAAATACTATTTGCAAAAATAAGAGCAAACCTTTCCACTCTGACAGTGAGGTCCTCCGCAGGTCTCTGATCTGAACATCCACTAGGCTCCTGAGACGAAGTGGCATGATCTGACCCCTCTCCTCCTTATTTATTAAAAATAAAGAAATAAGAAAACTGTTGCATTTAATGTCCTTTTTTAAAAGGTATAACTCTTTTGGGTTACAACACTTGTTAATCTTGTTTCTTAAACATTACATATTTTCCCTAAGAATGGAGGAGATAAGAAATGAGCTACTACTAATTCTGAAGTTTGGATCTGGATACAATAGTACATAAATAGGAAATAAGGCAGTTACCCAGTTGAGGTAAGAGTCAGAAGTAAAACATTAAGAAATATTAATCTGGCAGGAGGAGATATAATAAAAGTAGAATAAGCATGTTTAGACATAGGTAAGTAGGCTTTACTCTAGAGCAATATTGCCAAGTATCTATGGTGTCCAGTATAGTAGCCACTAGTTAATGAGCACGTAAAATAAGGCTAATGCAAGTGAGGGTGTAAATTTTTACTTGTATTTAATTAAAACAGCCACATGTGGCTGTGCCTACGGTATTCAACAGTGACACTTTAAAGGCTGGGTTTGATCCTGGGTATTGCTCTAGATTTACACTGGTCCATGGATGCTTCTGTATACCAAAATGATTCCTTAGAGAAGCTTTTCATGTCTCTACAGTAGTATTCTTTGTTTTTTAATTCTCACCCGAGGATATTTTTTCCATTGCTTTTCAGGGAGAGTAGAAGGGAGAGGGGGAGAGAGAGAGAAAGAGAGAGAGGAAAAAAGGGAGAGAAACATCAATGTGAGAGACACATCGATTGGTTGTCTCCTGCACACCCCCCGACCGGGACAGGCAGGGGGATAGAGCCTGCAACTGAAGTACATGCCCTTAACTGGAACTGAACCCAGGACCCTTCAACGCTCTATCCACTGAGCCAAACAGGTTAGGGTTCTACACTAGTTTTCTTTTAAGAATTTCCTGAAGGACAAAATTCTGTCCTGGCCTATTCTAGGATACCTAGAGTCTGGCACTTCTTTTTAGAATCTCTGCCATTTTCACCAACTTGATAAGTTCTCTCATTTTTAATCTCTGCAAAAGCAAGGACTATAGAGCAACAAAGTCTGGGTTCAAGTCCTATCCTGTCACTTCAGTAAATTATCTAATCTCTCTTTGCCTCATCTCTGTAAAATGGGGACAATGTGTTAAAATCAGTAATATGGTTAGACTTTTACTCACACTGGAACACAGTGTTTTAGTTATAACAACCATAGTGGAAATACTAGAATTACTACGTAGAGCCGATGGTATACATCTCTTCCTACCTCTGCATTCACCTAGGCAACTGAAATCAGCCACAGAAGGTGTATTTAGCACCTTGGAAATTAGCAAACACTACAAATAAGGACTTTTTCTCCCAAAGGCCATTTTTTTCCCCAAAGGCATTTTGTTAAAAATTTAACAGCACCCTGCTGAATGCAACTGTTGGATAATAAGCTATTTCATCCATAAAGTTATGTGTATATTCTACATTTTCAAATCATTTATAAAATGCCAAAGACAGAGAACTCTGTGGCACACCATTAGAAAGTCTCTACTATGTGACACTTGTTCATTTTTCTGGGTCATAAATCCACCTAACTACATTATTATACAGCACTCTTTTTTCAGCTTGTCCACAAGTTATCTTTAAAAGTTTTGTTTAATTGCCCAGCTGGTGTGGCTCAGTGGTTGAGCATCAAGCTATTATCCAGGAGATTGCGGTTTGATTCCTGGTCAGGGCACATGCCCAGGCTGGGGGCTAGATCCCCAGTAGGCAGCCGATCATGACTCTCTCTCATCATTGATGTTTCTATCTTTCTCTCCCTCTCCCTTTCTCCTTCTGAAATCAATAAAATCATATTAAAAAATTGTTTTAAAAAAAATTTCGTTAAATTATTTGCTGTTATAAAGTTATGAATATCTTTGACATTCATTTTACTTACTAAAGAAAAGTTATTAATTTCCTACTAAACACACACAATGGTTTAACTTAAGTTTTAGACTTTATGATGGTGCAAAAGCGATACACATTCAGCAGAAACAGCACTTAGAATTTTGAATTTTGGTATTTTTCCTGGGCTAGCTGTGTGTGGTAAGATACTTTCTCACCATTCTGGGCAGCAGCTGCTAGCTGCAGCTCCCAGTTAGCCATGCAACCACACAGGTAAACAACCAATACTCTATAATGTACTGTTGCCAGTGTTTTTTTGATATTGTGTTCTGAGCACATTCAAGGTAGGCTATGCTATGTTATGTTGTTTGGTAGGTTATACATATTAAGCATATTTTTAACTTATATTTTCAAGTTCTGGGTTTACTGGGACACAACTCCATTGTAAGTCAATGAGCATTTGTATTCAAAAGGGAATGAAAACTTTTGGAAATGATAAATATCCAGGTAAATGTAAAAGATAACTATTCTGCTGTACATGTAAATGGACTACATTCATAATAGCATCCTCCAATCCTATCTGCATCCAGAATTTGAGTGATCTATGTATGTAGAACCTTAAAATGAGACTCCTAAGAAGGGACCTGATAGTTGTTCAACTATTCAAAAATCTGTTATGTGTAACTCCATAAGTAGCGCTAAAGTTAATGAAAAACTATATGGCATCAAATTTCAGCTCAACATAAGGAAGAATTCCTCTAAAAACTAGGGCTTCGCCCTGGCTGGTATGACTCTGTTGGTTGGAGCGTCATCCCATACACCAAAAGGTCACAGGTTCAATTTCTGGTCAGGGCACATACCCAGGTTTCAGGTTCCATCCCTATTCGGGATACGTGCTGGAGGCAACTGATTGATGTTTCCCTCTCACATTGATACTTCTCTCTCTCTATCCCTTCCTCTCTCTAAAATTAATAAACATATCCTCAGGTGAGAATTGAAAAATAAAATCAATAAAAACTAGGGCTTCAACAATGGAATAGGCTTCCTAGACAAGGTAATGAGCTTCCTGCCATTAAATGTATTCAAATAGAGGCTGATGATTATCCAGGATGATGGAGTGGGATCATCTTTTACAATATTAATATTCTAACTTCTTGGCTTATCTAACCCTGCATTGACTAATACAAAGCTGAATTATACCAAACAACTCTAACCATGATCCCTAATACATAGTATAAGATTTCGTTTGCCTCTTCTATCAACCCCTCTTCAGTCATACCTCTTATTTCTGCAAGCTCTATTTTAGTTATCTTTTAATTCTAATTTTAAAAATACAAATATTATTCTCTTAAATGTGTACACTATTTTATCCGTTATAAAAACAATTCCAAATATATTAGTTCATTTCGAACTTTGAAAATCCTCTGGCTGGGAAGAAATTTATAAAACAGCTGAGTATCATGATGACAGTCCCTGAACCGCAGCACAGCAGCAGCAGTTACGAATCAGCTGTTCTGGACGGTTGCCCCATGGGTTTTAGGGAGTATCCACTGACACTATCCTCTTCTGCCACTAAAGGACACACATATGTATTTAAGACGACCTTTAAGTTTTAAGTTAAATGAATGTGAGGGGAAAAAAGACAGTATTTTTATTTTTTAAGGATGTTAATCCATGACCTTTAAAATGAAGGAGCACTTCTCTTGTACCCAAAGGGTACACTGAATATTACCTGTTGCAGAATCTGATTTTGTATCAGAAGTGGGTGTTGTCTCACAAAGCTCTACATTTCTGGGCTGAGAGTTTTCAGAAGTGTTGTTAGGTTCAAATGAGGTGGATGGAGTAGAGACTGAATTTTCTGACTGGCTGCCATTTACCACTGATGTTTCACCTTTTAATGAGTGCATCTAGTGAGCAAACACATTGAATTAATTAACAGATAAGAACCTAAATTTACCATGGCAGATGATACCAAAATATGAGTAAATCAAAGCATATACTTTCTAAGCAGAGAGATCTAAAATATATAATTCTAAACATGACATAATCATGTTATGGAATTCTACTGTAAACTTACAAGAGCATAAGAAGATTTTAAAAGTACGATGTTGCTTTTCCTTCAAATTATAATTCAAGGGGAAAAGTTACAAGCTATATCAGTAATTTTCCCAAAGTGGATGCAAATGAGAAATTGAGTAAGGTCCTTAAAACATGTCAAGCAATATTCCATTAGGTATCTTAATGTGACAGGAACTCTCTTGCAACAAAGAGTGATATACATTATGTGGTTAGGTGAGGGAAGAAAAGAGAAGGGGAAATAAATCACTCAAGTATTAGGTACAGGCACCTCTAACTTCATGCTATTTCTAAAACCAGTCCAGGAAGAGAGTATTTACTACCTTTCCAATTTAATGGCATGGCAGGTTCCTGAATATACAGAGTAGTTCCAAAAATACTCCAATGTCGAGGTTCCTGGCTAATCATTTTCCCATGTTTATACAAAGAATAATTCTGTTCCTTCTCACCTGCCGGACTTTGTGAATTCTGGTAACAAGTTCATCTGCGGAAACACTTCCTGCTATTACTTCCAAGGGAATTCCACTGTCTCCAATAAAGAAACTGGATGGAACACACACTACAGGATCTGCACAGTTAAATTAAGTCTAACAATTCATGGGAATCAAGGGAATAATTTTATGAAACACTACTGATAACAAAGCAAAACAAAATCATCTTTGTGAATTTCACAAAATAATCAGGTACCATGTTTACAAATAACTTCAATTACTGCATGTGACATGGGGATTTATGGTTTGTATTGCATATCTGAATGGAGAACCCCTACATCCCCCTATCATAACTTTCACATCTATATTGCCTCTTGTCAGCTACTTCTAAGATGCCAACCAAATTGCTCCATACTACTATCTAGATGCTCACAATAAACTCCCTATGATTCCATTTGCTACAATGGACTGTCTCAAAGGAACAGTAATATAAAGTTCCCATAAACAAGAAGGCATGGATGCAAATGAGAAATTGAGTTAAGATCCTTAAAACATGTCAAGCAGTATTCCATTAGGTATCTTAATGTGACAGGAACTCTCTTGCAACAAAGAGCGATGCACATTATGTGGTTAGGTGAGGGAAGAAAAGAGAAGGGGAAATAAATCACTCAAGTATATTAGGTTCAAATGAGGTGGATGGAGTAGAGACTGAATTTTCCGACTGGCTGCCATTTACCACTGATGTTTCACCTTTTAATGAGTGCATCTAGTGAGAAAACACATTGAATTAATTAACAGATAAGAACCTAAATTTACTATGGCAGTTTGTAAATAAAAATAAGTAACTTCTAAATGTCATGAATTAACCAAAAGAAAGGTAAATACTCAAGCAAAATATATGTAAAACTGATTCTTCGGTGAAAGGATACAGATTTGTGAAAATTGTAGGCAGGCTTCACTGTAAAAGGAAACAAAAACAAAATTAAACAGAAAATCATTAAGAGAATACAAGTGTTTCCCAAATACTGAGTTGTTTTTATAAAAATTTACTATACCAATTAAAAGCATTTTTCTGAAACTACTACTAGTTCATTTCATAGCCATTAGCTGAAGGAGGAAAATATAATTCTTATTTCACAGATCTTTTCTGTTTCATAATTTTCAGATTAAAGAAGTTACTCTTGCTACCCACAAACTGGTGGCTGAATCTGGTTGCTAAACTCAAGTTAGTATCTGCCATGTTGCTTCCTTAGCAGCAAGTATACCTGAATACAATACTTTGTAATAAGAAGATATTGATGCCTATGACTTACTTATGCAAGAGATAATACCACACCTATAATAACAAAGGACTGAAAACAACCTAAATATCCACCCAAAAAAACTGATTAATTATGCAATCATAAAAAAAAAAAAGGTACAAAAAAAGTATTTCAAAGGGTATAGGGTGAAATAAATGGTGATGGACGAAGACTTGACTTGGGGTGGTGAACACACAATATTGTACAGGTAGGTGATGTTGTAGAATTGCGCACCTGAAACCTTTTTATAATTTTGTTAACCAGTGTGACCCCAATAAATTTAATAAAAATTTAAAAATGCCTTTTTGTATAAAAGGGAAGGAAAATAAATATGTATTTTCTTGATTTGGCTGCCTCCAAAGAAGGGAACTGGGTGGTTAAAAACAAGGATGGGAGCCCTGGCCAGTGTGACAGTTGGTTGAGCATAGTCCCATGCACGGAAAGGTCACCAGTTCAATTCTGGGTCAGGGCACATGCCAGGGTAGAGGGCTCAACCCCCGATCTGCAACGTGTAGGAGGCAGCCAATCTATGCTTCTCTCTCTCTCAACCTCCCTCCCTCTAAAAATCAATAAAAAATCTTTAAATAAATAAATACCAAGAATCCTATCTTCTCAGAAGTAACCACTGTAAACTTCTGATGCATGTCCTACCAATTTATTTTCAATGGAGGCTATCTCCATAAATAAATACACACTAAAATGTTCCTACATTAGGTAATTTTATTATATAATAAATAGAATTTACTTTTCATAATTTAAAAGATACTCTAGATTCTATTAGCAGGCAATCCAGAGTGAAACAAACATAAACCATCACTACACGTAGCCATCCCTGCATCCACTAATAGAAACTTATTTTTTAAAATGCTTGATAGCCCGGCCGGGTGTGGCTCAGCGGCTGAGCATCGACCTAGGATCCAGGAGATTGGGGTTTGATTCCCGGTCGGGGCACATGCCCGGGTTGTGGGCTAGGCAGCCGATCAATGACTCTCCCATCATTGATGTTTCTCTCTCTCTCCCTCTCCTTTCCTCTCTCTGAAATCAATAAAGATATGTTTAAAAAACAAAACAAAAGCTAGATAAATAAGTCTGTATATATGCTCAAGAATTCTAAAACTCTTACTTCTCCCACATTTCCAATGAAGCCCTACATTCCTCATGCCATTATTGACACTAAAAGGTGCTTCTGAAAGGTAATGGCCAACATAAATGATACAATACACATAAAGTGATAAGATTCTTTTAAAAAAGCGATTACAGCTCAATATATAGTTCAGTAACTATTGTGAAACAGACTGCACAATAATTTGCTTTACACAGTTTCTGTTAACATTGAAATTTTTAAATAAAGTTTCTAAACTTACAGGTAAATTTCTGAATATTTTAATCTTGACAGTAATTGTCAAACATTATTCATTCTGATATTATTAATATCAAAAGGACAGCAAAAGCACTTTGCAATTAGTAATGAATTAATGTTCCTAGGAATTGATCATTGATGGCTGCTGCTATCATCATAAAGAGAAACAACCAGGCACTATGCTCTTTTTGTAAGCTGTTTCTAATGGAAGACATACCACCATCTATGAAGTAGTCTTGAAGAGAAAAATAAAAATCCAATCTGAATCCAACTGTCAGAGGAATAGAGGGCAGAGGAACAAACTAAATGACATAACAGGGCTGCAATCAACAAAATCCATACTAGAGGAAACTAAGGCATCTTCAAAGAATAAATTGCAAAGAAAAAGACAGAAAGAAATATAGACGGGAAGCCTGTAGACTAAAAGAGACTTAAGAAACATCAATACATCACAATGTGCGAAACTTGATAGATCCTGAACCAAACAAGCTGAAACAAATTAAATTAATAATAAAACTATGACCCTGGCCCACAACGAATACTTAAATCTATTTGATGGGGCATCTTTTCCTTTGATGTCATTTAAGATATATTGACAAATTATTACTGTACCTATATCACTTTTATCTAGGCTTCATACTGAAAATGCCTTTTTTGTTGCCTTTGGAATTACATCATCACTACTCTTACTATTTTATTTCAACAAAGTCTGCTGATATAAAAATACTGACTTTATACACTAAAAAATGTTTTTACTCTCTTTATAACTGGCAATTATCTTCTGTATCTAGGAGTGAGGCCTTAAAAAAAGACCAAAAAAAACTATGACTGATGAGATAATTGAAAATTTTAATGATGGGTGGATGTCTGATATCAAGGAATTATTATTTTGAAGTATTCCAATTATGTTAAAAAATTAAGAATCTTTATCTTTCAGAGACATACTAAAATATTTATAGATGAAATGATATAACAGATTTGTTTCAAATTATATGGGATGAGTAGAAATGGGAAGGGGTATAAATAAAACAAGACTGACCATGAGTTGATAATTTATTGGAGTGGTTGACAAGTACAAGGGGTTTATTATACTCTTCAGTTACTTTTTATATATTTGAAATTTTCAATAATAAAAAATTTTTTGAGGTGGGGAGAAGGGATGAATTAAATAAAACAGACTTGGCCTGGCCGAGCGTGGCTCAGCGGCTGAGCATCGACTTAGGATCCAGCAGAATGGGGTTCGATTCCCAGTCAGAGCATATGCCTGGGTTGTGGGCTCGATCCTCAGTCAGGGGCATGCAGGAGGCAGCCAATCAATGACGACTCTCTCATCACTGATATTTCTCTCTCTCTCCCCTCCTCTCTCTGAAATCAATAAAGATATATTTTAAATAAATAAATAAACAGACTTGTGGGTAGCAGGTACTATGAGGGACCTATAAATGTCCTTATTCCTATTAAACAATTCCATTCCCAAAAATAAGATCCAAAAGAGTGGTCAACCTTTCAGAGATAGTCAATATGTGATTTACAGTTACTTCCAAGTTCTTAGAAGCTAAGGATCACAATTCTTTTGTATTCCTGCTTGATAGGCTAGGAGAACTTAAGTTTTTCAGCAAGATATAATTAAGAATTTGGAAAACAGCAATCAGAATTTAAGACCGCAATATGCCTTAGATAAAAATCAATATTCTTATAGTCTAAAAGCATCACCATAAATCACAACAAAGACTATAGTTAAAATGTTTTTTTTAAATGAAGGATTAAAACATTAAGCAAACCTTTTGGTATCGATTTTAATAGCAACAAAATTGTTTGAAGATGCTTCTGTAACTTTCTCATCTTCCCAACTTGCAGCCATCTGTGTAGACTGCTCATCATCACCTATAAAACATTTCAAGGATTTTTATTACATAAGGCCAATATCTGCTGATTCTTTTCCCTAGAAATCTGGAAATGCAAATAAATAATAATCCAACAAATACTATTTTGTACCGAATCTGAAAACTGAATTTTTCCATAAAATGAAAAGTATGACTATATGCATTGCTAAAAAAAAGAAATAAAAAACAAAATATTGCCATTTAGTTATACAAAGCATTTTCTAAAAGAAGACATCCAAATAGTATCCACAATAATTGTAAGCCATGGATAGAAATGTACAGTGACTATTTTGGCTTTTCAACATGATGTATAATATTCCTCATTTATGTAGCATCTTTCTGTTGAGTTCAATGTCCTCCAGAATCCCTCCAAGGTAGACAGAGGCAGGTGCAATTCTGTTTGCAGACTTGGACTTGCTTTTTCTCATAGGTATGCTAATCATAAAAGTTATGCTGACCCAAAACTAATTTATGGTGACAGAATTCAGCATAGTATCTACCTTGGTGGAGGTGCTAACAATTGGGAAAGAGCATGAAAAAAATCTCCCGGGCTGCTGGAAATGTTTATATCTTATCTGGATGACAGTTACACAGTTGTATTCACATGTAAAAATTCATCGAGTTGTTTCACTTATTATAGTTCACGTAGTATGTCGTACTCCAATGACAAAATTTTTCAAAGTTATACCTAGCAAGAGATTATTTCCATTTTAGACCTATAATGTCTATATTTTGGCATGACCACTTACTGATGGACAGAGGGAAACTTACCTGAGTAAATCACTGAAAAATATTTGAGGTTAGCAGAGCTAAGCACTTTCTCAAAGGTGAGCAATCTTCGCCAATTTACGGATAAAAAATGTTTTCAGGCCACATTTTTCATTTTATAAAAATGAGATTATTCTATACCTGCTCTTTTGTAAACTGCTTTCACATACATACACACACACACACACACAAGCACAAATTTAATCCATACTTAGCCTTCCCCATATCAGTTACTTGTTCATGGTACATCCATTCTTTCAGTTCTCAGGCCAAAAACTTTAGTTACCCTTGACTTCAGTTCTCCAAAATACAGTTGACCCTTGAACAACACAGGGGTTAGGGTCACCACCACTCCCCACACCCCATACCATCAAAAATCCACCTATGAAGGGATCCATGCTGTTCAAGGGTCAACCATATATCCAGAATGTAACTATCTCTTACTACTTTCACTGCTACCACCCTGATTTATGCTACCACATCTCACCTAGATGGTTACAATAGCTTCCCAACTGATTTCTCTCCTCAGGCTATTCTTAACACATCAACTTTTCTTAAACTTTCACATCACATCAACCCTCTGTTCAAAATCCTACAAAGGCTCCCCATTTTCCCTCAAAGTAAAAGCTAAAGTCCTCAGAGAAGTCCAGGTACCTCTCTGTCCTCATTTCCATTTTCTTCCTTACTATTCCTTTCCTTTCTATTCCTCAAATTATGAAAGACACTCTTATTTTAAGGTCTTTGTACTAGTTGTTTCCTCTGCCTTGAATTTTCTTCCCCCAGTATCTACATGGTTAACTCTCAACTACCACAAGTCCTTGCTCAAATATTATCTTCTCAATAAAGCCTTCCCTAACCACCTCTTCAGATATTATACACTCTTCAGATATTCCCAAAGTTTCCTTATTTCCTGCTTCCCCCCCCGTAATATCACTTTTAATAGAGTACGTTTTTTACTTATTATGTTTACTGTTAATTGTATTTTCCACTAGAATCCAGGCTCCACAAGGGCAAGAACTGGTTTCCTTTTTACTTGCTGATAGGTAATAACTCAAATGCCTACACAAAACCTGGCATGTGATAAGTCGGTGGTATATAGCAAGCTCTTATTAACTATTTTGTGGAATAAATAGCTAAGTTTTTGGTATAGTAAGTCTCTTGGCATGATTACAATACTTGACTAATGCTGCACATATGAGTATATTTTGTGTGACAAGAGATCCAGGAATACTAGGAATAGGGGCTTGAGAAATCTGGCCATGGAAAAATAAACAGAGACTTTACTGTATCCACAGACCAAGACTAAAATGAATGCCCATCAGCAGACTCCTAGGTGTTGAAGAAGCAGATGGCACCCGGCTGGCATGGCTCAGCAGTTGAGCATCAACCTAGGATCCGGGAGATCGTGGTTTGATTTCCGGTCAGGGCACATGCCCCAGTTGCGGGCTCGACCACCAGTTGGGGATGTGCAGGAGTCAGCCAATCACTGACTCTCCCATAATTGACGTTTCTATCTCTCTCTCCCCCTCTCCCTTCCTCTCTCTGAAATAAACAGACATATTTAAGAAATAAATTTTTTTTTAAAAAGCAGCAGATGGGGGAAACTTTCATTTGCAATGACATTATTCTGAACACCTCAAGCACTATGGGCTGCAGAGAGATGTAAAATTTCATGTCAAATAGCTGTACGGGACATTCTTACTCCAAACACTTCTTATATAAGACTGTGAAGCATGAGGGATCCTTTTTATTCATTCTTCCTTTCATACACCCACAATTTCAGTCCACATTTACTTTGTGCTAGGCATTGGGCTATAAACTAAATATAAACAAATGAGACACTGTCTGCCCTCAGTGAAGATTAAAATCTAATGGTACAAAAAAGTACGTTAGTAAACAACTATAAATAACTATAGTAATAAATGCTATGGAAAAAGAACACAACGATGAGAGAAAATAATGAGACCACCTCAGGTCGGTCAGGGAAGCTCTCTCTGTGGTAACACTTAAGGTAAGACTTGCCCTAGCCAGTATGGCTCAGTGGTTAGAACATTGGCCTGAACACCGAAGGGTTCCAAGTTTGATTCCTGATCAAGGGCATATAACTTGGGTTGCAGGTTCGATTACAGTCCAGGTGCAACCAATTGATGTGCCTCTCTCACATCAATGTTTTCTCTCCCCCACCCAGTCTCCCCATTCCATACTCACTCTCTGAAAAGCAATGGAAAAAATATCCTCAGGTGAGGATTAACAACAAGAGAGACTTAAAGGATGAAGGAGCTGAGCCATGCCAAGGGCCAGAGGAGTTCACTAAGCAGAAGGAATTTAAGTGTAAGGGAGCATAAGACAAGGTAAGACTGAAGAGTTAAGAGTCAAAGATTACTCCCACACTTAAGGTTTCTCCAAATGGATGTCAGGTGGTGCCATTTACTTAGATGTAGCACACTGGGGGGAAAAACACAGGTGCAGGCAGTAAATATACTTTCAGGCTTGAGAATGCTGTGAGACATCCAACTGGGGACGTCAAGTAGGTAGCATGGATCTGCCACTTCTGAGGTTGATGCTTTGCACTCCCTCTCCTACGTTGTACCAGATGTCACATCCCCAGGAACAATGTTTGTCCATGACTCAGCCTAGTAGCAGCAACAGCTGCTTGGTCAAGAGGTATAACATTGAATAGAATTATTTAACTGGGTGAAAGCTATCTTAACACTACTGAGTGGAATTATTAATTGCCAACTTCAGTATCTTTAGTTCCTTAGTTTTAATCCCATTATGAACTATGCCACGGAGTGGGTGGGCTAAGATTTTAGGAGAAAACATTGTCTCCTTGGTAGTATCAGCAGTATTCAAAGTAAAGGTACTTAAAGAGAACAGTACAAACTCAGAAGTAAGAACTGCAGACCCTAGTAGAGCCAGCAATTCCAACTTAGAAAACCTCCATCTAGTTTAACCAAAAAACAGTGTCTGTCAAGGAAATTTTAGCCCACTGGTAACACTAGTCAATGAACTGACACCTTAGCTTCAGGGTCCTTGTCAGATTATTCTACCTTCCCAAGAACAGAATAAAAATCTTTTTCACTTTTAATTTATTGATTTGAGAGAGAGAGAGAGGGAGAGAGGGAGGGAGGGAGAGAGAGAGAGGGAGA